CGTCGTTGTTCCCGTGAAGTTTGGCGGCGTCGACCCAGTGGCTCCAGGGCTGCCCCAGCATGGCCTCGGGGCTGGGCAGGGACCGGCGCTCCCCGCCGCTGGTGGCCATGGCGGCGCTGCTGCTGCTGGGGGCCGCCGGGGTCCCCGTATTGGCCGGCAGCGTCGTGGTGGCAGCGGGGCCGAGGCCGCTCTCCACTCCTCCTCCTCCTCCTCCGCCGCCGCCGCCGCCTCCTCCAGGCCGGGCCCGCCGCTGGGATTGCTGCTGCTGCTGCTGCTGCTGTTGCTGCCTATTCGCCGCCGCCGCCGCCGCTCTGCGTTGCTCCCCCCTGACGTCACCCGCGGCCCGCGCCGACATTCTTTCCGCTGCTACAATGTAACGAGAAAAGTAGTCATCAGGCACCTTTTTTTTTTGGTCTTAAGGTGGCGCCGCCGCTTAAGGACGCGCCGGGAGAATGCCACAAAAAAAAAAAAGTTGCGAGCCTAAACGAAGTTGGCCCCGCCCCTCTCTTCTCCTCTCCCCCTGAAATACATCCTCCCCTGTTGAACCCACGCCCTTTTCTCCCTTCCTCCCCCACTTTCTCTGTCTCTCTCTCCTCCAGACCACCTTAAGAAGGAGTGTTACCCTCCCACCTTAAAAGTTTGCACGTCAACCGCGCGGACGACGGAGAGGGAGGAGGAGGAGGCGGCTGCATCTAGGAAGCGAGCAGGAAGCGAAGCCCATCCTCTTCTTCTTCTTCTCCTCCTCCTCCTCCTCCTCTCCAGCGCCCTCTTCCCTTTCACAAATGTCAACCCACCGAATCTTGGCCTTAAAAGGGGCTCATTGAATATTCAAATCGCCCCCTGCCAAGCCGCCAATCGGGCGCAAGCGCTTCTCCGCCGCCCCTCCTCCTCCCTTCCCATTTCACGAATGTCACCCACCGAATCTGGCTCATTGAATATTCAAATCGCTCCCTGCCAGTCCGCCAATCGGAAGCGAAGGCAGGCTTGTTGGCAGGATTGCATTCCGAGACCCGGGGGTGGTTCTTCTCTCTCTCTTTCTCTTTTTTTTTTTCCAGCTGTCAAAATCATGAATGAAGACCGAGAGGGCCAAAATGTCTCTCTCCCTCCCTCCTCCCCCTCGGCTCCGCTGGGTGACTTAGGGTTAAAGGGAAGAGACGGCAGCAGGAAAGGGACACGCTCCTTCCCTGGCCGCCCAAGAGGGAAAGGCTTCAAACTTTACGCGGTGACCAGGAAGAAGAACAATTAGGTGGAACTCGGCTTAACCCTTTCCTGGCCTTCCCTGAATTTCCTGGTAATGGCCATTCACGCCTGTATCAAGAAGCAGAAGCAGAGGATTTGTGGAATACGAAACCGAAACTTGGGCTGCACAACTGCATTAAGACACTGTTTGGAGATGTAGTTTGTATGAGGCATCAGCACTCTGACAGAGGAAACTACAGACCTTGCAGAACTACAACTCCCGTGATCCCATAACATTGAGCCTTGACAGTTCAAGTGGAGTTAAATTGCATTACTTCTAGCAGTTCAAACTGCATTAATTCTACAGTGTAGATCAGTAGTTCTCAACCTGGGGGTCCCCAAATGTTTGGGCCTACAACTCCAGGAAATCCCAGCCAATTTACCAACTGTTAAAACTTGTGTGCCAGCTGCGACTATACCTCGGGAAGTCTAACTTGACCATGGTGGTCCACGCCTTAGTTACCTCAAGATTAGACTACTGTAATGCACTCTACATAGGGCTGCCCTTGAAGACGGTTCAGGAACTACAGTTGGTGCAAAGGTCAGCAGCCAGATTGTTAACTGGAGCAAGTTACAGGTAGCAGTCGACTCTCCTGTTTAAACAGCTCCACTGGCTGCTGATAAGTTTCCGGTCCCAATTCAAGGTACCTATAAAGCTCTAAACCAGTGGTTCTCAACCTGGGGTCCCCAGATGTTTTTGGCCTACAACTCCCAGAAATCCCAGCCAGTTTACCAGCTGTTAGGATTTCTGGGAGTCGTAAGCCAAAACACCTGGGGACCCACAGGTTGAGAACTCTAAACGGTTCAGGACCTGCCTATCTTCATGACCGCCTCCTCCCCTACAAGCCCACACAGTCCTTAAGATCTTCTCTCGCTTCCACCCCCATCTCAGGCGCAGCTGGTGGGGACGAGAGAAAGGGCATTCTTAGTGGTGGCCCCTCGTTTCTGGAACTCCCTCCCTGGGGAGATTAGGCTAGCACCCTCCCTACCCACATTCCGTAAGGAATTAAAGACGTGGATGTTTCGTTGTGCATTCAATGGATGACCCCTATGACAATTGATCTATATCATGACCTGAATCATGACTTGAATCTGAATTCCTATATTACATTACTATATATATATATATTTAAGTTAAGCTGAATGGATCCCGTTTAATTGCTCTGTTTTCATGCTATTTCCTATGCTATTATACGTTTCTTTCCAACTTATTGACCACCTTATCCTTTAACCAACATGCACAATGGAGGACCTTCTTGTAGTAACACCAGAGACACTCCAAGTGTCCAGCTACTGGTCAAAAGACATTTAATCAACTACCAAGCTTGCAAACTTTGTGCTTTGTTTGTTTGTTTGTTAAAAATGCAATACAACTGTTTGGTCTGCTCCTGACACGATAAATAAATAAATCCTTTAACCAGTTCGCATAGTGGTCTTCCTTCCCCCCTCCCCTCCAAAATTAGTCTGCTGTTGCTTTTGATGCTTGTTTACTATTGTTATGTTGTTTTATGCTGTTTTAATTTGTTATTGTTTTGTGTTTAATTGTATTTTGCCTTCAGGGAGATGGAGGCGGGGTAGAAAAATAAAGTTCTTCTTCATGTTAGGATTTCTGGGAGTTGAAGATCAAACATCTGGGGAATACACAAGCTGACAACCACTGGTTGTGGCATTCCTAATATAGAATCTAAAAGGCCTGCTGGGCATTGATATTATCTATCTATCTATTTACTACATTTATATCCCACCCTTCTCACCCCCCAACAGGGGTACTCGGAGCAGCTCATAGAAGGCAGCAATTCAATCCCATACACATACATAAATACAGTAAAAAATAAACATATGCCTTTCACCCCCCCCCCCTTAAAAAAAACAGCAATATTAAAACAACTATTAAAAGCATGTTATCCAGAATCAAATCCATGGCAATTCCATTAGTCATTTCACAATTCCATATATAGTGTTCCCTCGCTACTTCGCCGTTCGCTTTATGCAGACTCGCTGTTTCACAGGTTTTTGCCTCCTGGCAACTATGGAGTGTGGAAGGGGATTTCACCCTCCCCTCAGGAGAGAGGCAGCCAATCATTAAAAAAAAAGAGGAGATACAAAGCAGTATGTAAATCACGGCCTTATAGCCCCTTCCTTATAGCTAGCAAAAAAAAAAAAAGTGTGCGGTGTCTTTAAATTTTTCCTTGCTTCTGCCTCACTCTCGGAATGCAATATATATATATATATATTGTCCCCACTTTGCGGATTTTCACTTTACGCGGGTGGTCCTGGAATGTAACACCCACGATAAGTGAGGGAACACTGTACTTATATTGCACTAGCTTGTTAGCCAAAAGCTTGGTCCCATAACCACGTTTTAACTTTCTTTCTGAAGGTCAGGAGGGAGGGGGCTGTTCTAATTTCGCTGGGGAGGGCGTTCCATAGCTGAGGAGCCACCACCGAGAAGGCCCTGCCTCATTTCTGCCAAATGCATCTGCGAAGAAAGCAGGATTGTGAGCAGGGCCTCCCCAAAAGATCTTAACCTCCATGGTGGATCATAGAGGGAGATACATTCAGACAGGTAAAATAGGCCAGATCCATTTAGGGTTTTATAGGTCAAAGCCAGCACTTTGAATTGTTCTCGGTAGCAGACTGGCAGCCAGTGGAGCTGACATAACAGGTGAGTTGCATACTCTCTGTATTGGTGCCATTCTTGTGCCCAGTAAAAATATCAAACCCATTGGCACTTGGTTTTATATAAAGCCATGTGTGTAAAAGGCTTTAAACTGCTTTACATTATTTTAACCAATTTTAATACATTTTAAATTTACTAAATTGTTTAGGCTTTTTAAATTCATTTTTATTGTTTACACGGTTTTTAATTGGGTCCATTATATTTTATTATAGAATGCCTTTTGATCTTTAGAAAAGGGTGACATATAAATTTTTTAATAAATAAAATTAGGAACAAAACAATGATGCACCTGGCATATACAATTGCTTGTGTGGCCTTTTGGAAGTTAACAGGTGCACTTGCAAATATGGGAACAGTTTGTACACACTCTTAACTCAATATAAAATATAAAAGCTTATAAATCAAAGTTAAGAAATACACACTTCATTACATGTGGGTGAAGCCATTTCCAGGAGCCATGGAATAATGTATGTCAATCAAAAAACAAAAACAAAAAAAGGACGTGGGATGGAAATGTCCTGACATTTTTATCATATCTTAGAGGTCTAGCATGTCTGGAGCACTGAATTTTAAGTTTGGAGCACTGGATCAGAACATCCTACAATGAAATGAGTTTTTAAAATTTTTATTTTGTATGTGTTTAAGCAGATTTTTTGTAAATTTTTTTGATGTTTTCAGCTGTTATTTTATCTATTAAGTTTATTAGGTTGTGTTATATTGTCGAATGTGTTTCTTTTGATGTAATTGTATGGTTTCTTTCCAGCAACTGAATGTTTGCCTTACATGTGGGAAACCACCCTGAGTCCCTTTGGGAAGATAGAACTGCATACAAAGAAATATTATTATTATTATTATTATTATTATTATTATTATTATTATCCTTCGTAAGTTTTTTTTCATGTAAGTAGTGACTGCAAGTCACTTCTGGTGTGAGAGAATTGGCTGTCTGCAAGAACGTTGCCCAGGGGACACCCAGATGTTTTACCATCCTGTCAGAGCTTCTCTCATGTCCTCGCATGAGAAGCTAGAGCTGACAGATGGGAGCTCACCCCACTCCCCAGATTTGAACCACCAACCTTTCGGTCAGCAATCCTGTCAGCACAAGAGTTTAACCCACTGAAGGGACTTCCCCTTCATAACTATACAAGTAAAATCTTGGGAAGAAAGTCTCGAAAATGTGGAAGAGGGGGATACTTTGTTCCTGAAATCTTTTCCTCCCAGAAAAATGGAAAAAAAAATATGGAATTTTTAGAAGATAAGGTGCTTCTGTATTCCCTTCACATATTTTCTAACAGCTGCATAATACTTTTATGTAAGTCAATGTACAGCCATGCTATTCAAAGTAGTAGTTCACAGATCGCATAACAAAATTGAAATGGTATTATTAACTAAGATCTGGACTACAGGTAGTCCCTGGGTTACAAACATCTGACTTACATCTGACTCA